ATATTTGTAGAATTTTTGTAAAAAATTTGTAGATGAAGAGAAAAATTTTGTAGTCAACACTTTCTCAACATAGATTGTAGTTTAATTGTAGTATAAATATAGTAATTTTGTAGATAATCATGAAAACAATATTGCTTTGTACATCCTAAAATTGATGTGTAGTTTTCCTTTTCGTTTGACTTATTTGCCTGGTGTAGAAGTTTCTCCAGCATCTACATCATGTTTTTGTTTGGTTCTCATCTCGGCTCTAATTTGTCGAGGAGAGGAACTATGAGTAGTCTCTGCAATTGCATGTGGAGATTTGCCTTGCTTTTTGGGTGATTTTGGTGATAACACACCCAAATCAAATGAGGGTATATCAGCTACTGCTGATTATTTAGGAGTTTTTCTCGAAGCTTTGTTGTTCTTCATTGATGAACTTCAACTGGAGTAAAATGGGGAACCAACTTTGTTGAAGGGTTTCTTCAATTTTCTGTGAATTTAGAGGGAGAATTTGGTTTCAGAAGATAGAAAATGGTAAAAAGAACGTGGGTATGGGTAAAACGTTGGTGGGGTTGAGGGGTTAGGAGAGAGAAACGTGGGATGAGTGGGGATACTGGGATATATAGATTTCTTTAATTAAGGAGTAAAAAACGTACAATTAATTATACCCTTAATTAAATATGGTATAGAATTGGTAATTTGGTATACTAAGTGTAATTAAGTCAAACCTTAAACATTGAGGGTAATAAGGTTTCCTATGTGGCATAGGAATGTAAAAATCCCATTAACTAATGAACTGATACAAAAATGGGCTGACGGGCTAAAAATACAAAGTGGCCCAAAAGTAAAAGAGAAGACTAATTAAATAAAACTTTACAATATAAGTGTTTATGTTTGGGCTTAGATGCTAAATAAGCCATTAGCTCAACACCGCGCCCCCCCCCCCCAAGTTGGAGAGGTAAACCACCTTCAACCTGCCCAGAAGAACATGATGAAGAGCACCAGGTAGAGGCTTGGTGAGAACAACTGCCAACTGTTGAGAAGTAGGAACATAAGATAGAGAAATCAACCCATCAGAGAGTTTAGTCCGGATGAAGTGACAATCAACTTCAATATGCTTGGTCCTCTCATAGAAAACTAGATTCCTGTCTATATGTAAAGCTGCCTGATTGTCACAAAACACAGAAAAAGGAAGAGATACAAAGATACCAAGGTCAGTAAGCAATCTAGAAAACCAAGTCAATTTAGCAACCACCTTACTAAGGGCCCTATACTCAGCCTCAGCAGATGACAATGACACAACATGCTACTTTTTGGACTTCCAGCTGATCAGACTTCCCCAAAAATCACACAGAAACCAGTGACAGATCTGCGAGTATCAGGGCAGGCTGCCCAATCACTATCTGAGAAAGCATGTATAAAAAAATCAGGGGAGTCTGAACAAAAAAGGCCCAGATCCACAGTGCCCTTAAGATATCTAAGCACATGAAGGGCAGCAGACATGAGAGGAACTCTAGGAGATTTCAAGAACTGACATAAATGTTGAACAGCAAAACAAATATCAGGTCTTGTATGTGTAAGGAAGAGAAGCTTGCCTACCAGACTTCTATACTTGTCAGGAGAATGAAATAAAGCACCAGAATCAGCATGCAATTTACCATTGAGTTCCAAAGGACAAACCACAGAAGAAATAGTTGCACAATCAAACTGTTGTAGCAAGTCAGACACAAACTTCTTCTGATTAATGAGAAGCCCACAAGGGACAACAGATACTTCAATGCCCAGAAAATGATGTAAGGAGCCCAGGTTTTTAATCCTAAACTGTTCATCCGAAAATTATTTGAGTGCAGAAATTTCAGCTGTATCATCCCCAGTTACAATGATATCATCCACATAAACCGCCAAGAGAACTAGACCCCCAGGTTTACCCTTAATGATAAGGAGTAATCATTAAGAGAAAGTGTGTAACCTCTAGAGTAAAGGGCTTGAGACAACTTGGCATACCATTGCCTTGAAGCCTGCCTCAACCCATAAAGGGACTTTTTCAATTTGCACACAAGAGGGGAAGAAACAGAGGGAGTAGGAACACTAGAGACACTCAACCCTTGGGTCAACTTCATATACACTTCTCATCCAGGTCGCCATGTAAGAAAGCACTGTTGACATCTAGTTGGAAAAGATCCCAGTGTCTCTTAACAGCCACAACAATTAAACATTTGACAGTAGACATCTTAATGACATGAGAGAATGTATCTGTGAAATCAACCCCTTCAACCTGTGTATCCCCTCTAATGATATGCCTAGGTTTATATCTTTCAACACTCCCATCAGCCTTGTATTTAATTTTGTAGACCCACTTACAACCTATAGGTTTTTTTACCAAGAGGAAGAGGGACAATGTCCCAAGTGTGATTGGAATCCAATGTTTCAAACTCCTTTCTCATGGCATCCTGCCAGGTTAGAACAGAAGCAGCTTGAGAGTAATATAGAGGTTCAGATTCTAAGGAGGAAGTAGAGGAGATGGACCCAGAAAAAGAAGGAAGCTAACACATATAATCCTTGAGGTAAGAAGGAGTGTTATGTTGTCTAGTAGATCTCCTAACTTCAAATTGTAAGAAGGAGGGAGGAGGAATGTCAGGATCAAAGTTTAGAGTAGGAGTAGAAGGGAAGGAAGTATCAGCTTGAACAGGATCATGAGGGAAGGAATTAGGAGCAGGAGAAGGAATATGAGGACTGACAAGGACAGAGGTAGGTGTCCCAGCATCCTGGTGATCAGGAAAAGGAAAAACAGGAGGTGTAAAAGGAAATGTAGTAGAAGTAGTAGGAGTGGTAGTTGTAATAGTAGAAGGTGTAGCAAAAGGAAAGCAAGTCTCATGGAAGACAACATCACTGGATACAAAACATTTCTTAGAGGCTAGATTGTACAACTTGTAACCCTTTTTGGCAAAACGATACCCCAAGAAAACACATGGGATTGCTCTAGTTGGAGCTTGTCTCTTTGGGGAATAGGAACAGTAGCATAGGCAAGACAACCAAATGTTCTCAAATGTGACTAAATAGGAGGTTTACCATACAACACTTCATAAGGGGATTTGTTTTGAAGTATCCTAGATGGAATTCTATTAAGCAAGTATGTAGCAGTCAAAAGACAGTCCCCTCAAAAGGAGACAGGTAACTTGGACCGGAAAAGCAAGGCCCTACAAGCCTCAAGAAGTGTTCTATGTTTTCTTTCAACTACACAATTTTTTGTGGAGTGTGTGCGCAAGTAGTTTGATGGATAATTCCCTGTTTACTGAAGAAGGAAGAACCATCAAGGCTAGAACCTAGCTCCAAGGCATTGTCACTTCTAATAGTTTGGACAATTGCATTAAATTGAGTTTGGACCATTGCCAAGAAGGATCCGATCATGGAGAAAGCATTGCTTTTTGAACCTAGTAGATGTGTCCAAGTAGCCCTAGAAAAGTCATCAACAATTGTAAGGAAATATCTTGAACCATAAGAGGTTGGTGTGTGATAGGTTCCCCAAGTGTCAATGTGAATTAATTAAAAAGGTCTAATTGTACTAATGAAGCTATCAGGGAAGGGAAGCCTAGTTTGTCTAGCCATGGGACAAATAGAACAAGGAAATGATTATCCAGGAGCAAGAGAAGATGACAAAATAGAAATATGTTTCATATTTGCAAAAGGAATGTGGGCAAGCCTTAAATGCCAAATGAAATTCATATCATTTACATCAGCATTATTACAAATGGAACTATTAACATTGGAAGACAAAACAACATTCTCAGAACTAAAAGACGAAACAGGTTTACATGAATCAGACAAAGAACACACAGAAATAGTGCTGCAAGAGTAAGAAGTAGAATGTGAAGGTGGCACCCAAGTAAGCTTGTACAGACCAACCTCCTCTCTACCAAGATCTAGAGGCATCCTCAAAGAAGGGGCCCATAACATGTGCGGAAAACAGGAAGTTGCAGTAAACAAGACTATACAATACAACTATTTTATCAGTTTGTGAACAGAGATTAAGTTGTGTTGAAAGGAAGGAACAAACAACACACTATGAAGAGTGATAAATAGAGTTAAAGCAAAAGATCCCGTGGAAGTTACTTTCACTTTGTACCCATTAGGAAGAGTTACAAAATAAGGTATAGCTAGAGGTGTAATATTAAAGAGTAAGTTTTTATTAGAGGTCATGTGGTCAGAAGCACCTGAATCTATTATCCAAGTGATAGAGTCAATTTAAGTAAGCATACAACGTTTGGAATCAGAAATGGGACTCTCAGTTAGTAGAGTACCAGCAAAATTAGCAGAACACATGAGGTTAGGAGGCTGAGCATTAGAGGAATCTCCCAACTGAGTCTGTTGTAGTAGAGCCATCAGTTGATCATATTGTTGTCTGCTCAGACCTGGAATTACAGACCCTTGATTATCAATATTTGGAACAGACTGAAGATTCTCAGTGAAATTCCCAACAAGGTTAGATGTATGCCCCTCAAAAGGGTTGAGTTAGGCACCAGTAGTGGCATGAGTAGCAGCTCTCTTTCCTTTGTTGAATTTAGGACTCTGTGGGTAACCATGAAGCTTGTAACACTTATCAACCAAGTGTCCAGACTTCTTGCAGTATTTACAGAACAAGGAACCTTTATTCTAGTCAAAATTAACCCTTTGTGTATACTGCCTGAGATGAGGATTGTAAACTGTGGATTGATTGACCCTAAAATTCTGATTGACTCCAAAAGGAAACCCAGGCTTATTGTTTGCATTAACATTGAAAGACATAGAGTCAGGATTGAATTGGGAAGTGGATTGGACTTGTCTTTGTTTTTCATCATTAAGGAGGATATTGTAGGCACTGTCAAGACTAGGAGGAGGTTGCATCATAAGCAAGTTGCTCCTCACCCCCATATATATCTCATTTAGCCCCATGAGGAATTGGAATAACCTATTTTCCTCATCCTCTTGTATAATCCTAGGCTTGGCAGCACAAGTGCACCTTTGACCATGATTAGTACACACTACCCCAATTCATCCCATAATCCTTTCAGCTTAGTAAAATATGATGCTATATCTAGAGGACCTTGAGAAGTATGGGCAAGTTCTCTGTTAAGCTCAAAAATTTTGGCCCTGTTAGCTGTGCCATATCTGGTTTGTAGTTGTACCCATATACTCTGTGTAGTCTCAGAGTACTGCACACTCTCAGCTATCTCAGGAGATAGAGAGGCAGTTAACAAGGAGATCACCATGTCATTACACTTGTCCCACAATTTTTGTTCAACCGTAGTGGTAGTTGGTCGGGGACAAGTTCCATCAACAAATGCTATCTTGTTCTTAGCCGATAGGGCCACTATCATCTTCCTTTTCCATCCCCCAAAACCACTGCCCGAAAAGGGAATAGGAATGAGGGATATACCAGGAATGTCGAAAGAGTGGACAAAGAGGGGACTTGTGGGATCCGGGGAGAAGCTATCAGTGTTACTCATATCTACTTCACAAAGGAACAAATAGAAGGGTCAATAATAACAGAAAAAGGGAGAATTGCTTCAATGTCTCAACACAACTATGCAACACACTAGATTCTCATCAAAATCATACATGCAAAATCTCTAATTAGAGAAAAGAACAGATTTACCCAACTTCTTCGCTACCGGAGACGAACGACATTCAAATCAATCGTAACCCTAGCTTCGAGTGACACAGATCCAAAGCGTGTAGATCCACAGGAGTTAAGCTCAAGACGTCGGAAATCCACCCAAAACGCTGAGCTGAGAAGTCTATCGACAGAAGCCTTCCTTGCGTGAACCAAAAACTTCGATTCACCAACCACCGGAGAAGAAAAACTCAACGAAAATAAACCGGGGTAAGATCGGACGAAAGAGCGAGAAGAGATGTGCAAAAATCTCTGCTCTGATACCATGAAAACATTCTGAATTGAGTGAAAGAAGAGGAATTTTCATTAGGGTTCTACGTCTAAGAGAGAGAGAATCAAGTTTGCTGTTACAATGAAGAATGATTCGATGGGTCTTTCTAGAACCCTATGTCCTTATTTATATAATGGGCTTCACTTGTGTTAACGAATGAACTGATACAAAAATGGGCTAAACATTTAAACGGGCTAAAAATACAAAGTGGCCGAAAACTAAATGAGAAGACTAATTAATTAAAACTTTACAATATCAGTGTTTATGTTTGGGCTTAGATGCTAAATAAGCCATTAGCTCAACAATACATAGGATGTTCTGTAAGTAATGTCAATACTCGAAGAAGTGAACAAATGAACAAAATTGCTACATTAAACGTTTGCTTGTCCCTCGGGGACATCTGATTACAAAAAATAATGTTCCAATTTTAAGCTTGCTTGAACAATCTTGTTCACGGTTGTATCAACTAACCAATTAATTGTCCAAGTTATGCAAATAAAAAAAAGAAGTTTATTATGGAAAATAATCGTAAGTTGACTGCTTTGCATTTTTTTTAAAAAGAAAGTCGATTATTTTGTATTACCCTCGCGCCGTCGTCGTCGTCGTCGCTCGCTCGCTCGGCTCAGCTTCGGATTCGGCTTCGGCTTCGGATTCGAATTCGAATCTGGACCTGGATCTGGATTTGGATTTGGATTTGGTCAAATGATCGATTGATTAATTAATTTTTTGGACCAAATTTATTTGTTAATAGTAAAATTAACAGAAATGTCAATATCCGTTTTAATAACCGAATATTAATATTAAAACAAATATTAATATTAAATTTAATGGTCCGTTATCAGTTTTCCATTTTTCAGTTTTGTAACTGAAAATTAACCTCCCTCTTGAATTCCCGGTTTATTATTGAGTAAATAGTCATTTATGTTATGGTCGTTTTGCATAAACAACTATTCTAAAGAGCTGCACCTCTTCAGTTTTTAGCCTAACATTGGCTATAAATACAAGTCCATTCTCTCAGAACTTCCATACGATTTTCTGAGTTCTCCTCCTTCTTCTGCGTTGTTTTATCTTCAAAGAAAGCCACAGTAAGTGTGATTTGCTACCTAACTTTGTGTTCGCTGAAACTCAGGGGTTCTAAGTACCACTACACCGGTGTGTAATCCGTTCTATCCTGGGAGGAAATAATCCATAACCTTGGGTACTAGGAGGGAATTAAATTCCTTAAGGAAACACTGTGAATTCAGTGGGCTCGGATTAACTTTTGTTTCATTTACATTTTCTATTTATGTGTTATTCTATTTTTTCCAGAATTAGTTAACAAATAGAGTATACTAACAAGCTTAAGGAATTTAAAATTTTAATATATTTTCTGTATTTATGTTATATTCACTGTTCTGGAGATCAAAACATTTGTGGTTTTCTACTCCGTTGGAGATTAAAATCTACGTGATTTTAACATTTGCTTGTGTCATTCTCTTACAAAAATGACTAATGATAACGGAAACCAAGATGTTCCGATGGTGACTGCCAACATGTCGACAAGCCGAACACCGGCATTGGCACCACCGGCGGAGAAACTCGGAAAATTTACCGGGATAGATTTCAAGCGGTGGCAGCAGAAGATGTTCTTCTACTTGACTACTTTAAGTTTGCAGAAGTTCATTAAGGAAGATGATCCTGTTCTGCCCGAAGAAACTCCAGAGAATGAACGCTTTCTCGTGATTGAGGCGTGGAAGCATTCTGATTTTCTGTGCAAGAATTATGTTCTTAGTAGACTAGAGGACGATCTATATAATCTCTACAGTGGCGTGGAGACGTCAAAAGAATTGTGGACTGCGCTTGAAAAGAAATATAAAACTGAAGATGTCGGGTTGAAAAACTCATTGCCGCTAAGTTTTTGGACTACAAAATGATAGATAGCAAGTCTATTATTACCCAAGTCCAGGAATTGAAGTGATTATTCACGATCTCCTTGCTGAAGGTATAAATCGAATTAATGCTGATGTTGAGAGTAGTAATTTTAGTATTTTTACTAACAGAATTTTCATTGAAGGTCTTGTCATCAATGAAGCATTCCAAGTAGCAGCGATGATTGAGAAGTTGCCTCCTTTGTGGAAGGACTTCAAAAACTACTTGAAACACAAACGCAAGGAGATGTCGCTTGAAGATCTCATTGTTTGGTTGAGAATCGAAGAGGACAATAAAGCTGCTGAAAAGAGAGGCCGTGGAAACTCAACAATAATGGGAGCAAACATTGTTGAGGATACTCCTCAAAATAAGAGAAAGAGGAAGCAGGCTTCTGGACCGAAAAGCAACCCAAGCAAGAAGCGGTTCAACAGAAATTGCTACAACTGTGGGAAAGCTGGACACAAATCTACGAAGTGTCATGCTCCGGAGAAAGACAAGAAGAACGGTCAAGCAAACATGGTTGAAAAGCATTAAGATGTTGATGACTTGTGTGCTATGCTTTCTGAATGCAACTTGGTGGAAAATCCTAAAGAGTGGTGGATTGATTCTGGAGCCACTCGCCATGTTTGTGCCGTTAGGGAAGCCTTTGCAACATATGCTCCTGTTGGACCAGAAGAGACGCTTTCTATGGGAAATGCTGCAACCGCCAAGATTGAAGGATGTGGGAAGATATTTTTGAAAATGACTTCTGGCAAGGTGGTGACTTTGAACAACGTCCTTCATGTTCCTGAGATTAGGAAGAATTTAGTCTCTACTGGACTTCTTGTTAAGAACGGTTTTAAGTGTGTTTTTGTATCCGATAAGGTTGTAATAAATAAGAACGAAATGTTTGTAGGAAAAGGTTACCTCACTGAGGGCCTTTTCAAGCTGAATGTAATGGTTGTTGAGAATAATAATAAAATTTCAGCTTCGTCTTACTTACTTAGGTCAAATGAATTATGGCATATACGTTTGGGTCATGTCAATTATAAAACCTTGTGGAAAATGATTAACTTGGAAGTGTTGCCTAAATTTGAATGCGGCAAATCAGAATGTCAAATATGTGTGGAATCTAAGTATGTTAAACATCCTTACAAGTCAGTTGAAAGGAATTCAAATCCTTGACTTAATTCACACAGATATTTGTCACATTAAGTCAATACCATCTCGCGGTGGAAAGAAGTATTTCATAACTGCTATTGACGATAGTACTCGATATTTCTATGTTTACTTACTGAATAGTAAAGATGAAGCAATATACGCCTTTAAGCAATATAAAAATGAAGTTGAAATGCAACTTAACAAGAAAATCAAAATGATAAAAAGTGATAGGAGTGGTGAATATGAATCTCCTTTTGAACAAATATGTTTAGAATATGGAATTATTCATCAAACAACGACCCCTTACATGCCCCAATCCAATGGGATTGCGGAAAGAAAGAATTGTTCATTAAAGGAGATGATGAATGCATTGTTGATAAGTTCTGGTCTGCCACAGAACTTGTGGGGGGAAGTCATTCTTACACCTAACCGGATACTAAATCGAGTACCCCATAGCAAAACACAATCCATTCCATATGAAAAATGGAAAGGAAGGAAGCCCAACTTTAATTATTTTAAAGTGTGGGGTTGTTTGGCAAAAGTGCAAGTTCCTAAACCCAAAAGGGTCAAAATAGGACCGAAAACCATTGATTGTATTTTCATAGGATATGCGACCAATAGTAAAGCATATCGATTTCTGGTTCATAAATCAGAAAATCCCGACATTCATAATAATATGGTTATAGAATCAGATAATGTTGAGTTCTTTGAAAATATATATCCGTATAAAAAGGAATGTGAGTCGATTGGTGAAGGATCTAAATGACCTCGAGAAGAAACAAAAGGAAGTACATTTAATCAGGTGGATCCAAGACGTAGTAAACGTCAAAGAACGTCTACTTCATTTGGACCAAATTTTATAACTTTCTTATTGGAAAATGAGCCTCGAACATTTAATGAAGCTATGTCTTCTTTGGAATCATTATTTTGGAAAGAGGAAGTCAATAGTGAAATAGAATCCATATTGAACAACCATTCATGGAAATTGGTTGATCTTCCTCCTGGAAATAAACCTTTAGGTTCTAAATGGATTTCTAAAAGAAAAATAAAAGATGATGTCACTATTGATAAATTTAAGGCAAGACTTGTAGTCAAAGGGTATAGACAACGAGAAGGTCTTGACTACTTGAATACATACTCTCCAGTTACAAGAATTACATCCATACGGTTGTTAGTAGCATTAGTTGCGGTGTATGGTCTTGAAATTCATCAAATGGACGTTAAGACGGCCTTCTTGAATGGAGATTTGGAGGAAGAAATCTACATGGAACAACCTGAAGGGTTTGTCGTTCTGGGTAAAGAAAAGAAGGTATGTAGACTTGTTAAGTCCCTTTACGGACTAAAACAAGCACCCAAACAATGGCATGTGAAATTTGACCAAACAATGTTGTCAAATGGTTTTAAGATAAATGAATGTGATAAATGTGTGTACATTAAAAATGTTCCAAATCACATAGTCATTCCTTGCTTATATGTGGACGATATGCTGATAATGAGTAATGACACTACCAACA